TTCCGGAAGATGATCTATGGGGGATAATTCCACAGCAGAGTCAGTACCCAACAGACATCACATATGGAAAATATTAATGGCAGATGGAGAAACAGTATTGAGAAAAGCTCCTTCTATCTTATTGCTTAATTTGAACCTTCTTTCCTCTCTTGATTTTTTGTACACAATTCAAGTGGAGCTGATTAAGACACAGTAACCTCAAATATATGCCACTGCATAGACAGGGTACATATATACACATGCTTTCTTAAAAGTATAGATTAAAAGTGGATTTCACCTTTTTTTTTGATGCAGAAGATAGAGCTTGAAGAACTAAAAATATCCTAACACCAACAGAACGAAAGAAACTGAATAAAGAGAAGAAAGCAAGCAAGCAAGAACCCAAATACTGTGATACCTACCTACCCATTACCCACACTCATACCTGCTCTGTCACTATCTTTAGTACAGATCAAAAGGAAACAGTAATTCAGTGGAGACTACACAGCTGTGAGATTAATTCAGTTTACATACCCTTCTAGAGCCTGGAATCTAAATATGCTCAATACCTTTTAGCTTTGCTTATTGCTAGTTTTGCAGGAGTGGCTGGAGGGTGCAATTAGATTCCCCATGGGCCACGTGTGGCTTCATGCATTTCAAATGCATTTCCTGGAGGGTTTGTATGTCTAATACAGGTGGAAGTACTGGAAGCACCATGTAGAAGCAGAGTAACAGGTGAGTGTGGTTATAAATCCCAGCAACATCCACCATTTTATGGTGAGATGCTGTTTAATGCTGCAGTGATTTCACCCTGTAGCACGTCTCAAGCTTCCACAGAAAAAGGAATTTGAGCCTCAGACTGGGGAAAGATTCAGTAAAAGTAAAAACCTTTCTGTTGATTTTCTGCATGTTGCTCATATGAATTTTATTTTTCTTAGGTTCATCCAGTTTGCTTGAATGTGGGACCTAGGCAGGATAGGGAAACTCTGGTTCTGGTGCTCTGGTTGACAACACTAAAGTGAAAAGTGATACATGATTAAATGCAAATATGGACAGTGCAGGGATAGTGCAGTAAGAAAAGGAACAGAAAGCCCCTGTAATACACAAACTAAACCCTGTGACAGTCAGCTGTTTGTTTTGAAATATCCATTTGAGTATCCATATTTCAGTATCTATTTACTTTCAAGTCTCACATCCTCAGAAGTTAGCAGAGAAGTGCCACGATGACTACAGCTCCTTTCTGCATGAATCTGGGATGAGCTGGACTTCAAAGCTTCCTTAGAGAGCTTTCAAATGCAGTAAATATATCCTTGCATGCTGCTGATAGATGCAGCTGCTTATAATAATTTAGCTAACATGTTTATTAGAAGCCCAGTTAAAAAATATAAATAAAAACAAGGGAGAAACATGGAAGTTACTTTCATCTGACTCCTCTGACCTAGATGCAGTGACACATACCCTCATTTATAGGCTCCCCCTTCATTAGCATCTGCCCTCATGGAGCTACTCTCTCTCTCTCAGACAAGCCACTGGGGACAGCAAATAAATGCAAGAGAAGTTGCCCTTGAATCAAAATTGAGTGATTACATTTAATTGAAGTCATGGTCTCTAAATGCAGATTTGGAAGGTGGGTTGTGTGTGATGCTTTGTTTGTGCCTGGTGACAGAAGATGCAATGATGAAAGCAACCAGCTGCAAGGATGTCTCCCCAAGCTGTGTCTCAGAGGAGATGGCTGATTCCTCTGCTGGTGTCCCTGTTTGGCTGTGCTGCTCTGCCCCGTGCCAGGCCAGAGGGGCTGGTTTTCTGAAAACATCTGCACTGGGGAAAACATCATGTTTTACAAGGGCATGTAGTGATAGAACAAGGGGGAATGGCTCCAAAATTAAAGAGAGTTGGTTTAGATTGGATATTAGGCAGAAATTCTTCCCTGTGAGGGTGGTGAGGCACTGACACAGGTTGCCCAGAGAAGCTGTGTTGTTCCATCCCTGGAAGTGTTCAAAGCCAGACTGGATGGGACTTGGAGCAACATGGGCTAGTGGAAGATGTCCCTGCCCGTGGCAGGGGGGTGGAACTACATTGTCTTTAGGGTTCCTTCTGACCCAAATCATTCTATGTTTCTATGATTTCCCAATTTTCTGGCCACAAGCCTGTTTCACAGCTTGAGCAGCCTCCTCTCCTGCAGCCGGTCTGTGCCTGGCAGTTGGGGGCTGGAAGCAGCTGGGGATGCTGGAAGGCAGGCAGCTGCCTGCAGCCTGGCAGGGACTTGCAACACTCCTCTGTCCAGTGGAGTGCTGGATGTGCCACTGGGAGAGGTCCAAGGTAACTTTAACAACTTCTGTCCTGCCAGCAGTTTATAAAGACCAGAATGACAACAACAAAGACCATGACACCAGATTTTGATCCCTCTCCAAAAGCCTGCACTTTACTGAAAACTACCCTCACCTCTGTTTTTTCCCCAATCCAATCTTGTTCTTTCTTTTCTCCCTTTTCTAGTCTCTGTTCCAAACTTCTCCAGCCAGAGGTTATATCCCTGCACATAATATAATTACCCATGACAACTGCTGCTGCTTTCTGCAGAAGAAAAGCCAAGACTTCACTAATTTGACACTGCCTGTACCTCATACTCCTGAAGTGGCTCCTTATGAAAGCCAGGAAATGACTGGCTTTCATAACACATGGCATCACAATGGGGTTTTTTGCCCCAGAACCACTTGGCCAGATGTCATTCGGATGAGTTGAGCCCAGTGGCATGGGGGTCTGAGCCTGAGTGCTGCTGTGACTCAGCACAAGGCTAATGCTTTGGGGAAAGCTGAATGTGTCCCTGCTGCAGGGATGGGTGGCCAAGGTGACAAACACCATCAGATCCACAGTGCAAATCTGCTCTGGCAGAGTGAAATCAAAGACCCACTCATCACTCACAGTTGTAGGTTTTACGCCCACTTTATGTCCATGCAGTGGAGAGGACACACACCTAAAGTCCTACTGTCACCTCCCCAGGAGATGTTCCTTCAGCTGCTTGTAGGAAGCTCTTGGGACAGAATGTGCTACACCCTGGAATGATTATGGACAGCTCGTTTGAAGACACAAGCTTCCTGCACTCCTAATTAGTGCAGAAAATGCCCAGAGACTACAAAATTTGTGGTTTAGGTGGAAGCCAAGAATTCAGGACTGGCACATTACTTTGGTGGAGCCCTGGCACAAGGGTGGGCTGATGTGCAGCCCTGGGCCAACTCTCCCCTTGCCTTTCTCACGTAGCCTGTATGAGTTCATAGCTGTTTGCTGTTTTCTTTTTCACTCTGAAATGCACAACTACTGTGAGATGATGGCACTTTGGATGGAGACTGGTGTCTTGGTACTCATTCACCCACTGAACTACTCTGTCATCATGAGGAAATAATTTTGCCCCATGGAGACTTTACTCTCTTCACGTTGTCCATCCTCAACCAAGGAGATGTACACCTGGCACAACAAGGATCCAGTCTTGGGCAAGAGTACTCAGTGTCAATAGAATATGTACAAGGAAAGGAAGATCTTCTACAGACAAAGAACTGAGGAAACAAATGAGATGTGCATTTTAGCACTAATAGAGCAATAGTTGTTTTTCATTACCCTTTTTTTCCATATTAGGATTTTTTTTCATGTGGTTGGATTTAATCCACTTCCACAGTGGTTTAAACCAAGTCAGAATAGTTAAAATGTGTTTACATTTACAAATGTTTACATGAAGACCTAATTCTATTAATGTCTAGTAATTATTACCAGCTATTTTTCCTTATAAATAAGAACAGAAAAACACCTCATACAATCTGACATTCCTCAGTAAATTGGGAGAGGCTTATTTTGAAATCTTAAATTGGATGAGCTATTCCATTTGTCCCTGACCCTTTTCAGAGAGGTTACACACAGACCTGTCCAAATGTACATCCCAGGAATAGACATAAACTTCAAACGGTTAATCAGAAGAAACTGAATTAACTGTGTGTACAGCACATCTCAAGGAGTAAAGAGTCATACCCCTGTCTCATACCAAGTGCTAAATTCATTAATGTGATGAAGATTCAATGTAGGATTTCATTTACTTTATGGATGGGATTGTGAAAGATTGCTCCATGCAACACAAATCCTGTCTCATGTGACCAGGTTCCTGCTTTTCTTGCTTTTAAGGTATTTATTTTGGGAAGGAGGGGCAACAGAGGTGATGTTAATTATTGAGCTGGCAAAGATTAAGTAGAAGTTAACTGATGGCCACCCCTGGGAACTGAAGCATGTCGGTAATCTATGAGGCAGACACAGAGAAGAGAACAGCAACTTGAGATTGTCCATTTGATCTTAACCCCAACCTCCTTTCCCTCTGCTCTGTACAGAGGTAACTTGCCATGACTGCAAACTCAGCCCAGTCCCACTTCCAAAGAGGGACCTTACCAAAGGTACTGCAGTGGCTGTTACTGCTGGAGCAGCTCCTGTGGGGTGCCAGATTGTATAACCCAACCCAGAGCCAAGAGCAGCAGCAATGAGAAGTCAGCGAGCCAGCTCGAGGCTGAGACACCCACAGGTTCTCCCATCTACCTCAGAATTAATCAGTAAATCTGTGGCCTTTCCAGATGCTTTGAAATGCATCCCTTGTCTGCTGCCTCTTTTCACACCAGTACTGTGAAAATCATTCCTCCATGACCTTGCTCCATTCACAAAGATCCTTTAATAATTGACTCCAAGGAAGGTACGTGTATGGATTAAAGGACTAGTAAAAGTCTGGAAGAATTACTGTAAGTTCATAAAAAGTGGCAAATATTTGACCAGAGATCATCCTGTCCTGTCCCTGAACATCCCATGCCGTTGTTAGTGGTGTTCAATATCTGCCTGTTCCTCACCACAGAAATCCACAGAAACAGATAGCGACGTAGCAAAAGGTCACACAGTTGTCATGATGATGGATGCAGTGGGTGTACACTGAGAGAGAGGGAAAGCCACACAAAACCATCAGTGCAATGATTTTCACAGGGACTAA